ACCCCCTGCTCCCAGCCTGGGGCTGGGCCCCGCCCCCACCTTCGATGGGGGAGTTGATGAGGATGACACGGCCCATGGGCGATGAGGCTCGGATTCCGCGGGGGGGCCCATTCAGCAGCCGCTGTTGCTTCCTCAGCAGGTATCGCGTTGCGGAGCCTGAGTCGCTGCCCAGGTGGCCTCGGGAGGAGAGGGAGCTCAGAGAGCCAGAGCTTAGGTCTCCAAGGCCCAGTGGGTCGAAACCCACTGAGAAACCGTGCGCCATGGCGGCTAGGTTACAGGTCCAGAAGGAAGCTGCTAGCCCTCGAGAGGAGGGCCCTGCGTGCTCCGGGCTCCATGAGCCTTCTGGGCAGGACTGGGGTCCCAGGGAACCGGAGCCCCTCTCTTCCGCTGCCTCTCTGGAGTGTGCACTAGGCCTGCGCAGGAAGAGGGGGGATTGGAGGAGGGGTGTGAATGCTGCTCCCCAGGATTCCCACTCCTCCCCCTGGTTTGAAGATCCTGCCTGCCTTCCCATACCTTAGGCCCCTCCCCCTTCCCACCCTTGGTCAGAGAACTGCCTAGTCCAGCCACCACCGTGAATTTCTGGAGCTATTCACGGGGAGGAACCTCTCGTTCATCCCTCATTCCTGCTCTCAGCTGAGTCATCTACTCGGTCCTCAGCCCTCACTGGAGGTTGAGAGGGTGGAGAGGATGGGATTATTGCAGGCCCTGGGGCTTCAAGCTGTGTGAGAGAAATTGGAGCCAGGACAGTTCCTTGCACACCTCTCCTGTGTATGTGAGTAAGGGGCAGCCAGCATTGGGTGCTCAGGCCTCAAGGGCACGCCTTCAGGACCTGGGACAGCTGCAGCCAAAGACTGCAGATTCCCAGGCCCCCAGAGACCCCCGAGGCCCTAGGCTGCTGTCCCCTCTGTCCTCCACCCTCTCCCATCTAAAGAGGTTGCGTGACGCTCTTCCAAGTGGAGGACCTGCTGTCAAGAGCCCCACAACATCCCGCGCAAACCCGGGGTCAAATCCCCCAGAGCAGATCGCAGCACCCCACCCCCGGCTCGGTTCTCGCTGCCCCCCCATCTCTCAGTCTCGGCCCCTGGCCCCCCTCACCTGCTCGTGTGTGCGGCGGCCGCCGGCCTCGCCCGCCCGCGGGCGTGAGCGACTGCACCTGCAGGCGACCCCGCCCACGCCTCTCGGAGGCTGCAGGAGCCGGGCTGGCCTGAGCGCTGCCGAGCTCCCATTGGCTGAGGGGGCCGCCAGTCACTCCCTCCCATCGCCTCTCTTAAGCACCCAAGACAGCCGTTTGTCACCTCGGCTGGGGCCGCTGGGTTCTACGCTCTCCAGTTCGAATTCTGATGCCCACCCGGACTGCGGACGTAGGGCGTGGGTCTCGGCTTTCCCTCCTCCCACTAACGGTTCAACACAGGGGAGCCGAGAACCTTGTCTTCTCCAGGCCAAACCAGCTACCAGGGCTCATGGAATTGCCACCCCTCCGCGGTCACCCCGGAGGACTCAGTGAGGGAATGTCACCTGGGCAAAGCGGGGCGTGAGCCAGGGTGGACTGGAGCCTGGGTGTGGGGCAGGCATGCTCTGTACTGTGACTGGCTGAGTGTGAGTGTGAGTGTGAGTGTGTGTGTGTGTGTGTGTGTGTGGCTGAGTTCTGCTTTCTTCACACGCATCCTCCTTCTATGTCAGAAAGTGTCTCTCTGGCCACCCAGTTAAAGGTCGCAAGGAATGGCAGCTGGTTACAGGACACTAGGGGGAGGAAGAATCTTTCTGATCCATTTGCTTGATGCAGGCAGAGCCTTAAGACTTCTGTCCCTTCCCATCCCAGGGCAAAGGTCTGTGGTGCTGGGGTAGGGATTGGGGGCATAAGAAAACTGGGGACCTAGTGAAGCTAGGAGTTACAGAGGAGAATAAGGACGGGGCTGGGGAGGAGTAAAGGATTGGTGACATAGAAGGGGCACAGGGACGAGAGGAACGGGACTGTGAGGGGTGTGAATGCCGAGGTGCTGCGAGGAAGGAGCTTGTGGGAAGTGGGGTAGGAGCCCAGGGGGCCAAGTGGGCAGAAGCCACAGCCAAGGCAGCCACCACGTAAACAGGCCGGGAGGTAACCCGAGCCCCTCCGGGCGCACCATCAGAGGATGGCCCCTGCACGCCGCCCGCCTGCCTACGCCCTGCAAGCGTTCGCTCCGGCCCCTTAGACCCGTTGCTGCGGAGGCCGGGAGCCTCCGGAGGCCACGCAGGGGATTGCAAGCGCCCGCGGCTCCTCCCTTCCCGGCTCTGGCTGAGGACCCGGCCCCGGACTGATCCCCGAGCCCGGATTGGCTCTGGGAGATAGCATGGAGCGGGATCCCGGTGGCCCAGGCTGGGGGCGTCGCCCCAAATGACACCCACTATCCTCAGGCTCTGCCAATCCCTGGGCACGCCAGGCGGACGCGCAGGGGTAGCCCCCGCCCCTCCTGATGGTTAGCGTCACGCCTGACGTTACACGTGATGGGTGGGAAGGCGGGGGCGACGCGCAGAGTAAGGCGGGTCTGAGAGCTGCAGAGGCCAGGAGCCCAGGAAAGTGTGAGTGCTCCCGCGGGGTTCTGGGGTCAGGCGAGTGGGGGGTTGAACGCTGTGGGAGTAGGAGAGGAAGGCCTGCCTCTCTGTCCTTTACGGATTCCGTATATTTCGGATTCCGTCTGTAGGGAAGCCCATGGGGCACGAGGAGAGGTTAGTTGGGGAGAAAATATCAGGGTGGGGCTCTGTGTAGTCACACATTCAAGTGTATGCAACTGATTTATTTGGGCTGTGGTGTGTGTGTAGTGCAAGTAACGGTCTTTGTGGGCCAGTGGGTGCAGGGTGTGTCCACCCTGTATGTCTCTGTAGGGTGTGTATGATGGTGTCTGTGTGTGGGTATGTGAGTGTGAGTGTGTTAGAGAGGGGAGGGTGTGTCTGCCTGTGAGGGAGGAAGTGTGGTTGACGAGGATTAGTCATTCTGTAGGATTCTGCCCAATGCAGCCAGATGGCTGATTCAGGCTTTCCTCTCTGTGCTAGGTGGAGTGGGCACTTACAGAATCCAACCTCTTTTTGGAGGCAGGTGGCTCTGGGGAAGAAGTAGGTGGCTGTCTGTGCCAGCCCTGCCCAGCTGGGGAACAAGAAGAGCCTTGGGCCATTCAGTGTGGGTTGAAAACACACACACACACACACACACACACACACACACACACACAGCTGGAATGAGTCCCTTGTTTGAGATCTGGGATAAGATAAACCCTAGGGTAGCCAGTGAGCTCCTGCTCTCCTCCAGTCAGGGGCTGGGGATGACTTATGCTATCTTCCCAAACAGTCTTGGGAGTTTGTATCCAGGTCCCAGGGCAGCTGGAGCCTAAAGCTGACATGAACATAAATGTGGAATGCATATATGCATTTTTGTGCATACAGAGCACAAGAGTAGCTGCTTGGGATTAGTTGCTGCTCATGCATCAACCACACACATGTAAATTTTCACTCATGAAAATCTGCACCAGGCCAGAGCACAAGATCTGTTTTCCTCGTTCTGTCCCCACCCACCTCCCTCCACCTCCCAGTCTCCTCCAGTGGTAGTAGGTCCCTGGGCCAGGACACTGCTAGAAAACAGCTCCTCCCCCCACTGTTGCTTACTGATCTGGAGTCACCTTGAGCTCTAGAAGGGATTGGCGATAGGCCCAGGGACCAGGGCAGGGCCACCAAAGGCTCCCCCCAGGTGGAGCCCTTGGACCCCCTCCTTAGAGTCCTCTGACCCTGGTCCCTGCCCTGCAGAAAATGGGTGAGTTGCCCTTAGATATCAACATCCAGGAACCTCGCTGGGATCAAAGCACTTTCCTGGGCAGAGCCCGGCACTTCTTCACTGTTACTGATCCCCGAAATCTGCTGCTGTCTGGGGCACAGCTGGAAGCTTCCCGGATCATCGTGCAGAACTACAGGTGACCCCTTCCCCATCTGACCCTGTACCCCAGGTCTCATTCCCTGCCATTAATATAGTACCTTTTTGCACCTGTCTCCCCAAGCTTGAGAGTGACCCTGCCCCACTCCTTACTCCCTGCCCCTATCTGTTGGAATCACAGACAACTATGGCACAGAGCTTTAACCCAAAAGATTTTAGGTGTTTGGATTGATATTTATGCCTCACAAACTTTCTACAGGAACCCGTCCCACTGCTAGGCTACCCTCTGCAAGAACAGAGGGGCTTCAAGTTGAGTCCCGAGGAGGTAGGAGGGCATCGCCTTTGTCTCCAGGAGGAAAAACTCTTGCAATACCCCTAACCACTTTTGACCTTTTGGAAATCACCAGTATTTGGGCAGAAACACAAGGGCACCCCTCTTTGTGTAGCTAGAAGGGAAATAGAAATGGGAGCTCCCCACTCCAGGAAGATTAGATTCTCTCCCAGAGAGCAGGAGCTCCTGTGCCTGGTCCTCTGCCCAGACTTCCCCTGAGCCAGGTGGGCAGGGCTTGGGAGGACATATTTGCCCCCTAGAATTGCCTGTCTCTTCCCTGATAACCTCTGCAGGGCCGGCGTGGTGACTCCAGGCCTCACCGAAGACCAGCTGTGGAGGGCCAAGTATGTGTACGACTCTGCCTTCCATCCAGACACAGGGGAGAAGGTGGTCCTGATTGGCCGCATGTCAGCCCAAGTGCCCATGAATATGACCATCACCGGCTGCATGCTCACCTTCTACAGGCAGGTCCTGTGCTGTGTGTCCCCTCCCTGAGCACTCTGGCCAAGCTAGAATGTAGCTTGATGACCAGACGCTTCCCCTCTGGGCTGGTGTGGGCAGAAAATAGTAGGCGGGTGAGAGTTTGTGCTAGAATCCCTTCCATTCCTCAGAACTCAGCCCCGGGGGTCCTCCCACCCGAGACAGTAGGTGTGTTTATGTAAGTGGGGAGGGTCATGCAAGGGTCACCAGAGCAGGATTTAGGGTCATCAACTAGCTCCCTCTTGAAGGTTTGGGAATAACCTTTGGGGTTTCATTATCAGGGTCCAAGGGTGAGGGTCACTATAGAGGGCAAAGAAGTAAGTTTCTTTGTTCCCTCAGGAAGACCCCAACTGTGGTGTTCTGGCAGTGGGTGAATCAGTCCTTCAATGCCATCGTTAACTACTCCAACCGCAGTGGCGATGCTCCCATCAGTGTGGGGTGAGAACTCGTCCTGGAGACTCTTCTCTCTGCCCACCATTGTTCTCTCCTGTTTGATCCTATTCACGGAAGGCCTGTGCAGCCAGTGGCTCCATGCCCTCGTCTCAGCCTGTCCTCCTCCCCACTTTCCTGGCCTGAGGGCATGGGGTTCTCATGTGTATGTTTTGAGGGCCCCACTCTTCTTCAAGGGGAGGGGTTGGGGCTTCCAGACATGTCTATACTGGAGCATGGGAGGCGTTTCTCTGCAATGGGGCCACCCTCCCACGCCTCATGGGTTGAGGATTTGCATGTCCCTGAAGGGAAAAAACCACATGCAGGACTGTTCACCTCCCTACTTGTGTCCTGGCTTTTCCACCCACAGGCAGCTGGGAACAGCTTACTTGAGTGCCACCACTGGGGCTGTGGTCACGGCCCTGGGCCTCAAATCCCTCACCAAGGTAAATGAACCCCCCCCACTCCACTGGTCCCTAGGCATCCTTTATCCGCCTCCTTCCCCATCACCCCTCCACACCAGCCTACAGGCTTCATATATCTCTTCCCAGAGTTCCTCACCACTCCATGGCCCTCAGGGCCACTAAGTGACATCTTTCCTCCCCCAGCACCTGCCCCCACTGGTTGGCAGATTTGTACCCTTTGCAGCTGTGGCAGCTGCAAATTGCATCAACATCCCTCTGATGAGGCAGAGGTGAGTGGCTCTGACTCCTAGCCCGTGTGCGCCCGGGGTACATGTGGCACATCGTCTAGTGGGGCACACCAGTCTCTGTCCTCTCCCTGAGCATCAGCGGCTGGGCCCAGTCTCAGTCTGACACTGGAGTCTGGGATGAGAGAACCAGCCTTTCAACTTAGGATGTCTGAGGAGTCCCCAGGGAATAGCTGCCCATGGGGGCATTGTGGGTGGGATTTGGGGCCTGTGCTCTGACCCCCACCCCCTTCCCTTCTCAGGGAGCTGCAGGTGGGCATCCCCGTGACTGATGAGGCAGGTCAGAGGCTTGGTCAGTCGGTGACTGCAGCCAAGCAGGGAATCTTCCAGGTGGTGATATCGAGAATCGGCATGGCAGTTCCTGCCATGGGTGAGGCAGGGGTGGCTGGGTGGGGCATGGGAGGCCCTGAGAGAAAGGGGGTGCAGTTCTTCGGGGTTTTTGAGAACTCCTGGTGGTAGTGGGAAGAACTATGAAGGGGGATCCCCCTTCCTTAGGGTCCTGACTGTCACTCTAATCTCTCCCTTCCTGCCCTGCTCTCCCCTCAGCCATTCCCCCTGTGATCATGGACACTTTGGAGAAGAAAGACTTCCTGAAGGTAGGTCACTCTCACCTCTCCTGTCCTGGAAGTAGTGGTGGCTGAGAGCAGAAGTGCCCAGTCCTTAACTCCCTCTCTAGCCTGACCTGTGTCTAAGATTTGCCACTTGTTTGCCCTATGCCTGTGCTGCCTCCTTCATCTTCATTCATTCAGCAAGAATGAATTGGGCTGGAGTGAAGGAACATTGAGCAAACAGGAGCAGAAGATAACGGAAATGGTTTCTATTCTGAAGGAAACTGGTGTCACTCAGAGCCTCTGACACACAGCAAGGATGAACTATCATAGTCACACTTGCTATTGTACTCATGCTGTCAGATAACAACAGTGAGACACACACGCATGCACAAACAGGACAGGAAAGCAAGGCCCAGGAATATAAGCCCCGGCTCAGTCTTTTTTCAAAACATGTTTTATTGATTTTAGAGAGGAGGAAAGGGAGAGAGAGAGACAAACATCAATTGGTTGCCTCCCATACCAGGAATAGAACTGGCAACCTTTTGGTGTACAGGACAATGCTCCAACCGAATCGCACCGGCCAGGGATTTCTGGCTCATTCTTTGGATCATTTACTCACAAGTATTTATTGAACACCAACTCTGCACATTTGAGTAACAGAATGGGGTTTCTGTGGCTGGAGCAAATTGAGAAGGGTGTGCAAAGCAGGAGATGTTTGGAAAGGGGCAAGTTCATGCCGCTGAGATGGGAGGAAGGAAGTGGAGAGTCAGAGGAGGCCTCCTGAAGAAAGCAGCACCTGGAGGAAGTTAGGGAAGAGAAAGAGGGGCAGGGAGTGCCAGGGCATCCAATTCTGAGAGGCCAGAATGGGTGAGGGGACACTAGAGAGGGTGTCAGCAAACAGGCCTGGCTGGAGTGGAAGGTGGTGCTCTGAAGGTCCTAACCCTGTTATGGGTTTGGGAGAAAGAAAAGCGCCATGTATCAGAGGCTGAAAGGCAGGACTGATGGGATAGAGCCATGATGGGTGAAATGGGGTGGGAGCAGGGGGACGGGACACACGCCATTCCATTGTCTCTGTTTCCCCACAGCGCCGTCCCTGGCTGGGGGCACCCCTGCAGGTGGGACTGGTAGGCTTCTGGTAAGTGTGCAGGAAGTTAGCTAGGGTGTATGGGAGTGCCCTTTCCATGTGGATGTGGGTGGATATTTATTGCTTTTAAGGTGTTTATATATATATCATTCATTCATACATTGAGAAGGTAGGGGTCTTGGACACCCATAGGGCATACTGTGTGTGTGAGGGGTTCATCCCTGTCCTTGAAGGTCAAGAGTCTGGTTGAAGGGGTTACAGTCTTCATCTATAAGAGGAAGCCACGATAACATACCTTTTGGTACTATCCAGAAGTTTCATGCACATTGAATTCCTGATTCTCACTCACTGGCTGTGGAACTCTGGGTCACTGCTCTGGAGGTTCTTTCCTCAGCCAGAAACTAATGGCACTGTTGGCTTTAATCAGTCCCCACCCCTAGGGGTAGTGTCTAGAAATGGGGTGGGGTAGGGGAAGGGAACACCCTTAGGTCAAAGCTTCACAAACCTTTCCAACACTCTTCTCCCCAGCCTGGTATTTGCCACCCCCCTGTGCTGTGCCCTGTTCCCCCAGAGAAGGTAAGTGCTGTCCCCGGGCTTGGCTGGGGGCTCTGGATAGGTCTCCATATCTCTGGAACCAGCTGACGTTAGGGTCCTTCAGCATGTTCCAGGAAGAGGCCTGGCAGGTACTCAGCTTATTCTGGGGGTGGGGGAATGGCAGAAATCTGGGCCTTCTGCCCTTCAATGGAGATTCTTCAGCTTGGGAAGAGGAGGGATGGTGATCCCTTAGCCTGATGGGGGTTGGGTTCAGGGGACACTAAGCCTACCTGCGCTGTTCTGTTGCAGCTCCATACATGTGAGCAGGCTGGAGCCAGAGCTGAAAGCTCAGATCCATCAGCAAAACCCCAGCATCGAAGTGGTCTACTACAACAAGGGGCTCTGAGGGAGAGTCAGCCCTGGCCCCTCCCTCACCTCCTTGGGCTGCTGCATTAGTGGAGCCTTGCCATCCTGCCACTTTCTCTTCTGCCTGGTATTGGACACGGGGCTTGGTGGGGAGTAGCCTTTGAAACCAGCAATCCACTAGGCTGGGGAAGTACCCCAATAAGCCTTTTTCTCTCCTCTCTGATTCCAAAGAGCAGGGTCACATAATCCCTTTCTCCTGCACTAGTGTGTCTTCATATATGCATATGTGATATGTGTGTGTGTACACACTGTCCTGGAAGCTAGGAGCAGACGTGCTGTCCTGGGATGTCCTGATATCTGGCTTCTCTTCTTGGCCTCCTGCCACCTGCCAGCCAGCCAGGCTATGGGACTTAGACAGTCCCAGTGGCCAAGTCATTTCTGACAGTACCTCACTCCTTCTAGACATATGAGAAGCCCCAGGATCTCAGGACAGACTGAGGGACACTAGCAAACCAAACTGGGCTGAATCCTTTAGATTTCTGCTTCCTGGCTCCCAAAGCTGATTCAGGAACTGGGCTGGCAGAGGAAGATATGTCAGCTAAGGGAGGCAGGGGGCTTAAACTATCTCCCACATCCTGGAATAGATCATTTCCTCTCCTCTTCTCTACCAGAACAAAGGAATGTTAGTATCCTGTATTGCTCTTGCCATCTTCCCATTCCCCCTGCAATGTGGGCATCTTCTTGGTCCACTCTGACATTATAACCTCAAATTTAAACCTACAACCCCAGTCCTCTCCTTCAACCAAAAAGCCACAAAGGCAGAGAATCATTCCTCTTTCAGAGCTCCCGTTGTACCTTCTTACAGAGGGACACAGCTGTGGGAACAGTACTTAAACTCCACAGGTATATGAATGGGTGTAACTAGTACACCCTCTAGGGCAACTAAGGCCACAACTGTACAGTCTTAAGACAGGGAATTTTGTGTTCCTTCGACCCTTGTTAGACATTCAGCAGAACCCCCACCTTAGCTCCTTTTCTTTTTTAAGGCTTGGCCCTGCTCCCACCCCTACCCCCAAGGGGAGGAGGGGCCCTGGCATCAATGGCTGGTCCAAAGGGGAAGTGGGTTTGGGGATGGAGTGTGTGCTAGTAAACTAAGAGGACAGAGTTGGACCTTGGCTCCCATGACCTCTGGCTGAAGGGGTGGGGTGAAGGCCCCAGCAAGATCCCCTAAGAGCGCACCTGCTCCCCCAACCAGCTGCCACCAATAATAAAAGCTATGATACCATTGTTATTCAATAAACAGAATTTGTCTACTTCTTGGTCTTCATTTGGTTCCAGGTCGGGAGTGCCCAGGAAGAGCCTCCTGCCTGTGGTCTTTCCTTCTCTCCCCACAAAGTCTGGGTCTTGGTCTCTTCCCTCCCCTTCTATAGGGAGCCTCAGCTCCCAGCAGAGGGCGCTCTGAGATTAGAAAATCAGTCTTCCATCAGTGCCTTGAGTACTAAAGGAGAGGGAATGTAGGTAGGTAGATACTTCCACCTTCTGTTCCCACAGCAGATAAAAGTCCTGGCTTCATTTCCTTCTTTGCTAGTGGTGCTGATCACACACTTACATACCTACTCAGGCTCTGGGCTTCTTGGTTCCCTTCAGGCATTTGGTGTGGGGTGGTAGCATCTGAGGCCCCTGCATAGAGGAAGGCTAGAGAGCTAAGGACTGCCCAGCAGAGAGAATTTGTTTGTGCACTGACACACCCTCCACACCCCTCCATGCCCCCACTGATACAACAGGGGAACATCTGGCAGGGACTGTTTGCCACTTAACACCCCTTCTTCCTACCCCAGGGCCCTCTACTCCTTCCCTGCTTATGTAACATCCCCCCTTTTTTCTGGGATATATGAGGCCAAAAGTCCATGCCAGTATACAGCTGGTGAGAGCTACTATTAAAGAGTTTATAGTTTCCTCTCTTACCCTAAGTCTTGGCTTTGGAAGATTCAAAAGAATAAGCATGAATGAATCTATATTAAAATCCATTCCCTACTCCCTGCAGGAACTACCTCTCATCTCCTCCTTTTCAGCCCAAAGCTCTCAAACTAGGTGGTGGGGAGAAATCTTTAGGGCTGAATGGTCCCACAGCAGCCTGAAGTGAACCTATTACTTTGGCCTGGGCTTGCTCACTCCTCTTGGGACGTTTACTTGTGTGGGCAGTGGAAGTGACACCAGCTACTGTTCATTGAGTCCTACTGTGTGGTGCCAAGCTTAATGAAGCAAAGTACTTTAAGCCCATTACCACTTTTGATCTTCAGGATCACTCCTGTGAGGCCAGACATGTTGCATCCATTCTTAGCAAGGATACAGTCTTAAAGACATTAAGAAAGTTCCCCACAGCTATACAACTAGGAGGTAGTGGAGGTAGAATTCAGGCTGAGCTGCGTGACTGAACCCAGGGTGCTACGCTGCTTCACCTGCCAGCTGCTAGCCAAACTTGAAGTCATTTTCCTAGTCCCTCTGATATTCCAGGCCAGCAAAACTGATAGGCCCACCAGTGTACATAGACCTTTTTACTAAAGCCACTGAGGAGTCTCCAAGTTTGAGGGGTTTATAGCTGAAGGAATATAAGCAATGATTCCCATTCTTGATTAAATAAAGATCCAGTCTCAATTCCATCCTGTTCTGCCAATCTGGACCAGGGCCTACCACCAAGCCTACTGGACCTCTGGGTCAATTCTTGAAACCTCTTTCTGCAGTTACAACTTTGGCCTTTGGTAATCCCCTTAAAAAGAGGTCTTGCATTTTTATTGGGAAATCAACATAAGGTAAACTCGAGGAGTGAGGTGCAGGAATCTCTGTAAAACAAAATCATTAAGAACATTTTATAACAGAATTATCTGTGCTCTGCAGATAACACCAAACCATGTCAGAGAGAAGAATGGCCAGGGCACCAGTGGGCCAGTTAGGAAGGAATGCTTTATTTAGGCTAACTTCACAGGCTCTCTAGGGGCAAATCCTAGTCAGGTACATTTTCCTAACTGCCTCCACATGCTTAGACTTTTCCATGAAGTCAGCATTTGGGCAGAGGTAGCACTTTTCTCACTGGAAAGTAATCTTCCCCATTCTTGGGCCTCCCGTCTTCCTCCTGGTGCTCAGATTCCAGGAACCTTCTCTGGGAGGCCGCATGTGTCCTTGGCCTCCCTCCCTGCCTCCTTTCCCTGGCCTGGCCTCGCCTCATCTGCTTCAAAGCCCCTACCCTGAGCATTAAGAAAGTCCATAGACCTTCCTCTCTCCCGACCCAAGGTCTAAGGGGAAAAATGGCTTCGTTCTAGAGCCCTGGCTTTGCCTGGCCATAAGAAGGGGGCCAATGTATCCTGCTCTTTTCCCGGATCACTAGGACTAATGAGGCCAGCATTTTAAAGAGAGGTTAGTCCCTAAGATTAGTCCCTGCTGGTTAGGGCCAGCTTCAGCTCGGGCCCCGAGTGCTCACGCGGGTCATACCGGCCTAGTCCCACCGTGCGGGGCGCTAGGGTCAGGGCCAAGCCCCGCCTTCCTCCAAGTCAAGCTTGTCAGCGTCAAGCCAGCCCCGCCCCAGGAGTCTGTCAGTCCCCTCTGGGACATAGCCAATCAGGAGCCGAGTCCCGCCCCCGCTGAGGCGCCTGTCAGTCAAAGTTAGGCTGGGCTCCACTTTCTTCCCGTTTCCGGGGCAACGGCTTCAGCGCCGCAGACCTGAAACACAATTCATCTTCCCAGCCTGAACCTGGAACCTGCGTCTCAGATCAGCTTCCCAGGTGACCTCGGTCCTGCGCGGCTAAACCCGTCAAGTTCCCTCCCTCCTTGAGTCGGGAAGCCCGCGAGCGCCTCCGCGCCCGCCCTTTCACTTCCTGCCCGAAATCCGCGAGGTTTTCAAGGAATCACGCGAGGCCTCCCCTGGGTCCCAAACCCCGACTTTCAGCGTCCTCCAGGGTTATTGGCCCTACCTTTTTTTTTCTCTCTCTCTTTTTGTTTTTTTAATTAAAAAGGTTTTTATTGCTTTCGTAGTGAGAGAGGAAGGGAAAGGGAGAGAGAGGGAGAAACACCAATGAGAGAGAAACATCGACCGGCTGCCTCCTGCGCGCCCCCTACTGGGGATGAGCCGCAATCCCGGTGTGTGTCCTGACGGGGAATCCAACCCGCGACCTCTTGATGCTTGGGACGCGGCTGAACCAACTGAGCCACACCGGTTGGGCTGGCCCTGTCTTTCGCTCCGTCCATCCCCACTCCTTCTCTCCGCCCTTGCACCCCCTGTTTAGGAAACGTTTACTAAACTCTGTTAAGAGTGGCTCTGTGCCCGGCGCTGGGTAGAAACGGCCTGCTGGGCGAACAGATTCCCTTCCCATCTGAGGGGACACAGCCTGTACCCAACGGTCATTAAGGCGCCTCTCCTTGTCCCCTCTACGTCAATCTCCCTGCACGTTGCAGTGACCTCGGGTCCTCATGTGGGGGCAACCTTTTGCTAGAAATTGTGGTGGAATCTTGATCTAGTTGGATCTTTTCCCCAAAGGGAGCTTCCTTCTCTCTTCCTATATACACAACATCGTTTTACTCACAGGAGCCCCAGCACAGGCTGCCAGAGGGACAATGGCCACAGCCTCCTCCAGCTTCCTTTTTTCCATCTTCTCAGACAAGGGAGGTTTTGCAACTAACTGAATTAACATCAAGGAGAATGTCTACACACACAACCCCTTCCTTCCTCCACTTCATACCTCCAGTAGGAAAATAACCCGTGCCTGTAACAAGCAACAAGCAGCTTTCTCAGGATGAAGTGTTTGCTTATAGAGCAAGAGTTTGCTATGTTAATCTATAAATTAACCAATAAACCACATACGCATTTTCTTTTTTTAAAATGATAACTGGAAAGAGATTTTCTTTTTTTAAAGTTGGATTATTTTTTAAATTGTTTTGAGAGAGAGAGAGAGAGAGAGAGAAAGAAACATCAATTTGTTGTTACGCTTATTTATGCATTCATTGGTTGATTCTTGTATGTGCCCTGACTAGGGATCGAACCTACAACCTTGGCGTATCGGGATAATGCTCTAACCAACTGAGCTACCCAGCCAGGGCCACCTATGTTATTTTTTGACTGAAGACCTCCCATCCTTTATCACCAGCAAGTTCTCAATTGACAACATTAATTTTTTCTATTTATTTGGCGGGGGGTGGGGGGCAAATGATGAAAATAATTTTATTCTTTCTCACCACACTCTGTTAAACTTGCTTTGTGGAAACTGACAACTTTTATTTCCCAGAAGGAGCACTTCTGGTTTGGTTTTAATTGAAGTAATTTTGTGGAAAACAGTACACAATAACGATAAATAGGGGGATGTATTGGAAGGATTTATCAGTAGCTCTAAGAACCAAAGATGGAGCTAACCAATTTGGCCTTGGAAAGGGCAGAAAGCTGGGAAGCTCTGGGGGCCTCAGTAACTGGAGTTTATGGGCACTGCACCAAGGCACAGTGAGGTGTGGAGTAGTGCTGGGTAGTGGTGATGTAAGATTAAGTGTCACCCTATGGTATACCTGGAAGCCTTGCTTTTTATGATACTCAAGCCTTCTGCTAAGCCTAATTCCTCCTGTTGAACTTGCTCATCACTGCTAGTGATTTTCTTTCAGGGCCTCATTTGTACTAGCTGGCTTCCAACACCTGACTCCCAGCTCTCAGACTCCCTTACTTATATCTGATCCCCGAGTTGTAGACAAGATTGTATTTTCCTTTGGCAAATCAGATCACCTCTATTCAATTGTCCCAAACTTTCCAAGCCCTCTAAGGAGGATTGTTGCTAAAGGAAAACAGGCAGACTCCCCAAATCTGCGATTTCCAAACTATGTACTGAGGCACCCCAGTGTGCTACAATGAACTCAGAGGACATTTTAAGTTTTTGAGAGAGATCCAACCCAGCAATACTTGACATCTGTTGGATACCCCATAAGCTTGAGCTTACAGTTTCAAAATTAGATTGTGATGCATTACTTTCAATGTCTTTACAAACCTTTTTTTTTTTTTTTTTTTTTTTTTTTTTTGTGAAAAAAAAAAAAAAAAAAAAAAAAAA